ACAGCCCCTCGTTTGTTGTCCTCTTCTCTCTCTCTGCCTACGGTTTACCGGGCAGTTCTGTTTGTGACGATATATATATGTGTGTGTGTGTGTGTGTGTGTGTATCTATATATGTATATGTATATGTATATATGGTGGATATGTATATATGGTGGATATGTATATATGGTGGATATGTATATATAGATATATCAACCTGTCATCCAAGTGGCTGGCCTTGTACGTAAGAGGTTATGAACAGGTGGAGCTTTCCTTACCTCTTCCCCCTCCCCCTTTTTTCCTTTTCCTTTTTCTTTTCCCTTTTTTGCGCTCTGATTCACAATGTGACAATATATGGGTTCGGCCTCCTGATGAGTCGGTGAAACTCCGACGAAACAGTTTGTCACAGCCCGTCGTTTGCTGTCCTCTTCTCCCTCCTCTGCCTACGGTTTACCGGGCAGTTCTAATTAACGATATATATTATGTAAGATTTATAGATATTATTATATTATTATACATAATATTTATCTTTTATATAATTCTATATAAATTCTGTGTGATTTCATACGTATATATTGACGATATTTATAAGTTTCACTTTTTTTTATTGACGTAAAAGTCCAAATTTATTAAACAAGCCGGGCAACGTGCCCGACGTCCTTTGATAACATGTTGTTGTGTTCCCCCGTCGGGAAGGCATCACCGACCAAACCCTGAAGGGGGAGACGCAGTAGGCCTCATGAGAATTAAAAAAATAAAAAATCGAGGTAAAACCAAACAGAAACAAACCAGAAAGCTTTCGTTATTTACCTCTATTTATATAGTACACGAGAGAGTAGCAGAAATACTTTGCTCGGAAAAAAAAAAAAAAAGGAAGTATAGTAGTATACAAAGCAGAGCATTTCAAAACATGGGCCTTTCCCAAAAAAAAAATAAAAAAAATTAAAAAAAATGGGTCTAGTATGTTCTAAACACATCTGTCCTATTCTATGTACACGAGTAAAGGAAAGTAAAAATAATAATAATAATAATAATTACATGCCCTGTGCCGAAGAGGCAGTTATATGTGCGCGCATGGAAGATCTTTCGTCAGGAGGCGATGGGCGTCGAGCAGGCGACCTCAGGCAGAGCCTCGCCCTGAACGAAAGGACAGTGAATTCGATTAATATATTGAAATGTAAACACACAAAAAAAAAAGAAAAAAAAAAAGGTTAATAAACAGTACAAGTTAAAATTTTGAAACTTTTTTTTATACCAAAAAATAAAAAATATATTAAAAAATTACAATCGGAGCAAGGAAGTGTCCACGGCTTTGGCGCTGGTATTGTAAGGGCCTTGCTTCACTGCTCTCCAAATTTGTGAAATGAGACTGAATCCTCCGCTAGAACATGGGAAAATACATAATTGCAATATTTTTCCAAATGTGTAAAATGAGACTGAATCCTCCGCTAGGACATGGGAAAATACATAATTGCAATATTTTTTGTCATTTTGTGCATGTGGAGAGTAGTGGCGCGAGGGCCTTAGATATACGTCTCGTCTTCGTAATCGAGACATGACAGGTGTCACCATTTTTTATTTATTTTCTTTTCCGAGGCATGACAGGTGTCGTGAATGATGGATATGATGATGGAATACGTAAAGCTAGTTTACAGGTTTTTTTTTTTTTAATCTTTTTTTCGAATAAGCAATCAAAAACAAAACCATTGTTAAAAAAAAAAAAAGAACATAATAAAAAGAGCTGGGCTACCAGCCGGTCCGCCCGGGTCACCTTCTGTGACGGGGCAGCCCGGCCGTGCAAGACCACGAAAGGGCCCAGCAAAAAAAAAACAAATCGAAAAAATCCGAAAAAACATTATGTGATGCAGAAAAATTAACTGAACTACTTTCGCCGAAGGGTCACATCGAAGTTCTTTAATAAATTTAAAATAAAAAATAAAATTTGATTTTTTTTTTTTTTTTGAGTCTTTATTTTTTTTATCATTTTTGGCCTTGCCGGGCAAGTTGCCCCAGGCGACTTTGGTAGCCTAGAAAAAGAGCAATGCAATTTAGTAGAGTCCTTGCTGGACATCTGCTGAAATTAGAACGATACATCGTAGCCAGCACGGAAGGATGAGCCACACACGGTAAATTTAGAAATGGTCCAAATTAAAAGAAAAAGGGATGCAGTAAAAAATAGAAATATAAATAAAAACATATTTATCATTATTGGAAATAATGGTCCAAATTAAAAGAAAAAGGGATGCATTAATAATTAGAAATATAAATAAAAACATATTTATCATTATTGGAAATATGTCCGAATGAGCTAGGAAGATTCTCACACCCGGCCGAGCACCTGGGCGTGACGCCCGGGGTAGTCGGGCGTGCAATTTTTTTTTTTTTTTTTTTTTTTTTTTTTTTTTTTTTTTTTTCTGCGCTCTCCCAGAGGACCCCAAATCCGGGCTCATCTCTTTTCTTGCGAGTTGGATGTCAAGGGGGGGAGAGGGGGTATCAATTCGTTTAAAAGGGGCTAAAGACGTTTAAAAGGGGGTGCGTTTGTGTGATTTTGTTATTTTCTTTTTTATTTTCTTTTTTATCTTCGATTCTGTGAGGAATGATAATGGAACCCTTGGCCAAAAGTCGTTTGTATTTCAATTATACACAACATATTTTTTTCCCGGAATTTTTTGTTTTATATTTGTGTTCTTTTTTTTGCGCTGGGGCTGCCCAGAACTCTGCCCAGGGATCATGCCCGGCCAGGCACCTGGGCCTGTACC